TAGACCCTGCAATAGAGAAAACCCCAACAATCACATGACCCTGTATGAGCAAGCGATTTGGCAACAGTTGGAAGGAAAAGCTCCCTTTTAACACATAGTGGTCACTGCAGTGGACAGACATTCAAAGTATTTCTATTCTTGTACTTGTGTCAGTGTTGATGGTGTACTTGCACATAAACCACTATATTGGACACTGATGTGGCACTCCATACCAAATTCATAAGTCAAACTGTATGTTGTCCACCGAAGTGGACGTGTAACAAACTGTGTACATGTTTTTAAAAAATGAACTTTTTTCCATGCTAAAGATGAATAAAAATCCTGATTGACGTCGTCATAATTTATCCAAAGAGTTAACTGTAAGAAACCTCCAGCAGAACCAGGCTCAGGGAGGGCCCTAATAACCACAATCATGTGTCCCTAATCCCACTGTTTCTGAAACACTAAACAAAAATGAATATTTAATAAATGTGTAATACATTAATTAAATTTAAAAGAAGCCCTACTAAGTATTTCAGTGTTTTTGCTATATTATTAAATACAAAAATCACATGTGATAATTAACATAATAATACAAGATAATAACATCACCTAAATTATCATTTAAACTGTCAGAAACTAACAAAGCCAAACTTTGTTGTTTTTGTTTTGTTTTAACATTTATTTATTGGTTTTAACCGGTTTTACATGATACACCGTGGACATAAAAAATAAAAACAAAATAAAGTAAGTAAATAAAAAAAAACCCTCAACAACAACAAAAACAACATAGTAATAGAAACAAAAACAAAGCAAACCATAACAGAAGGGAAGAGCAGATATACAAATCAAGTTAGTGCTTCAGGCCGTTAAGTCCACAGTGTGCACGCTGCAGTTCTCCAGAAAAGTTGTAGAATTTTGACCATGTAGCCCAAAACTTGTCCAGTTTATTTCTTAATGCATAAGTTATTTTCTCCATAGATCGTATAGATGTCCGTCCATTAAGCCACTGAGATAGTCCACATATTTTTTGATTTTTCCAGCACATACAGCGCTTGGCTTCCAAAAGTCCAGTCGTTAACAAGCTCTATTGTTTGCAGCAGGTACAAAATTATTCAGGTATATATTTAAAATACATATTTTAGGATGAAGTGGAATCACATCACCAATGATTTGACTCAACAGATTTATTACCTTTTCCCAAAAGATTTTCACACATGGACACTCCCATATACAGTGAAATAAAGCGCCTGTCCACTCCACACTTAATACAGGAGTCTGGGATGTTTGAGTTAAAATGATGCATTTT